TTTCAGTTGTAATTCTATCTTTAAACATTAAAGACATCATCACATTGAGTAATGTTTGATAGCGTACTTGTGTAAAAAAAAGTGAGTAATTTGTCGGAAATAAGGTTTGTCACCACATTTCCGTGATGAGCGGCTATTTTGTTGCTACGACAACCGAGGAGGTACCGACATCGCTTCACAAGTGACGTCATAGGATGAGGCGTTTTTTCGACACCCCGAGTTTTTAACCTTCACCTACTTTTTACATTTACTGTGTTCATGAATACAACTTTAAAGTCGTACACACACGATGTACAAAAGTCTTTGTTGCTGACGTTTAAGTATCTCAGTTCGGAAATACTTTGTCACAAAATTGTAATGTTTCTTTTTGTATGAGTGGGATATGTATGTATATATGTGTGTTTGTATGTATGCTGGCTGCTGGAACACCTACATTTCCCTGCTGGGATGAATAAAGTATATCTTATCTTATCTTATTCAAAAGTCCTCAGTACAAAAGTAGGCTACTTTTATGAGTGAATTAATATACAATAAACTATGTAGCATTTATTGTAACTATTGTGCATTTTATGCAGCATGGTCCCCTCAAGGGTAAAACTGTAGACTGTACATTTTTATTTACTCTTTTCATTACCTACTTTATTAGGCTATGTACAGTTATCAAACAATGCTATCTCCCTTTCCACGTTAGAGCTTACTTGTGTTGTGCTGCTGATCTTCACCTCTGACACTTTTTTAGAGGGGAAAAGTACTTTTTCACTTAAGTTAATTTGATAGATGTAGACGTGCTTAATGTAATGGAATAGTTATAAATACTTCAATGTTGTTAAATAGCGGCAAATATAAGTTAGGAACCTTACGTTATGTCAATTCAACTTTACAACAATCTGTTCAAAGGTTTGCTAACATGAATGTTTTTTAAGGTTTTTTTTTTAGTTTTTTTTTTTTTTTACAGTTTTTAATGCCTATATTTTAAAAATAGGACAGTGGACGGAGTCAGAAAGTGGGGAATGATACGCGGGAAAGGAGCCACAGGTTGCATTTGAACCCGGGCCACATTAGTTGTTTTCAGTTTAAGGTAACCAAGTCTTTAGCATTAAAACACATGACTTTTTGAGATTAAGATTTGTATAATGTCTTCCCCTTTGGAAAAAGAAGTTATTTCTTAGTTGTTGATAGTCTTTCAGTTGACGGTAATCTTAACGTTGTGTATCAAGAGACAGTCTAAAATACATTCTTATGAGCCACAGCACAGGCCTCTCAGTCAGACTTGATGTTTGTTTGGATGGACTGAGCCATGTAAGTGTTGGAAAGCATCCCAGTGAGTAAGTCATGGGAAGTTTCCCTGGCTCTGCAGCCACACATACTTGGCTTTAACTGCACTGACATTTAAACTCAACTCTGAGAGAACAGCTAATACTCTCGTGATCTTACCCTGACATCATTGTACATGTGTACTTCATATTTCTGGTTATCAGCAGAAAGTCCCCCGTGAGCATGTTTTTATCTTTGATATTATAGTTTTTATGAAGACAGCTTTAGTTCAGCCTATCTCCATTAGAGCTTTGTGTAGTTGTCTAAATACTAAAGTTGTGGGGAAAAAAAGACTTGTGTAATTTCCTTTTTGTACAATATATAGCATTGCATGTCAGTTACCCAATGATGTCCAGGAAAGCAGATAACTATGTCAATGTCAGTGTCTTCCACATTGTTTCACTTGTAAATAAATTGGACCATTTTCCAGAAGGTGGGGTGGGGGCGCTTATTTGTCGTTTGGGAACAGGATGTTAATGTTAACTGGCAGAATGAAGTAACCAAAAAGGGTTATCAGAGAAGGGCTCGATCTTCCTTCCTCAAAAGTTGCAGAGTCTGATAATGGACCAGTGAGTAACTCAACCCACTGCCTCTATATTTAGAGGTACAAACTGTGCTTTCCCCTCAGGTAGAGTGCTTTACAGAAATAATTCTGATTTCAGTCAGACAAGTCATGTTTGTATCGTTTAAAGTGTTTATTGCAGCAGAACATAGTTTGTGTTTGGCGTCTATGGCTCCGATCTAATCACTCCTAACGGTTTCAATTTACATGCAGAAATTTGAGGAGTGATGACATGATGTCTTAAACCTCCAGGTCGGAGCCTACAGGTAGATGATGGGGTGGTGGGGCTGATTGAGAGTGCAGCACTGGTGCAGGCCAGAGCTGGCAGTGATGGAGCAGAGGGAGGGACTGGAAATCTTTCAGCTTAAAAAAGGCCGCTAATTGGAAGGAGGTGTTGTCAGGTGATTGTTGAGAAAGAAGCATGTCAAGTGTGAAATCAGTTCTGCTCGAGTTGACTGCCTTAACTAGCTCGCAAAGTCTCAGGCCTCATTTAAAAATATATACTTTTGAGTTTATTTATTTCTGAAAAGCAATGCTTTTTAAAATCTTTCATCCACATATTCATGAAGTACCCGTTTCTTTTTCTGTTTTTCTTTCAGAATCTGAGCTTCACCGATTTCTGCAAGGTGTTTTTAAATAGAAAACAAACTGAAGATGCAGGGTTCCATTGCACGAGTGTGTATGGTGGTTGCAGCTGCCATATTAAACCATCCCTTGCTGTTTCCTCGAGAGAACACCACAGTCCAAGAACAGGATGAAGAGATGATGGCTCGCATGCGGGAGCATGAGGAGAGGTTGGAAATGGAGCAAACCAAGCTGGAGAAAGAGCTGGCACAGTTGGAGTCTCAGCGGGAGGAAACCAGCACAGAGGAGGGCTACAGTTGGTACTTTTGGAGCGCTGTGTCTTTGGTCATTTTCTTCACTATTGAGATGTGCAGAGTTGATCTAGCTGACACAGAAGTCAGGCCCGTAGAGGATGAAGACGTGTTTCCAGAGAGTGGCTCCATCACCCCCAGGACAATGGTACTAGATAAGGATGTCCTTGGTAACTTCTGTGACAAATGCACCTACACCTCAGCCCATAACAACTGGAGGGTGAGGGAGTTTGTCGAGGGTTTTGCTGATGACTTGCTGGAATCACTCAGGAGCGTATGTGACAGGACAGACATGGAAGTCGGGGACTTTGTTGGAATAGGGAGCATGTTTGAGTCTTGGAGGGTGTGCAAGCCCCTAATGTGCGACCTTCTGGTGCCTTTTTCCCCTCCAGATCCGCACTCTTTTCAGTTCCACCTGTGGTGCTGCCCCTCCAGCGACGTGCCTCCAGACATGCAGGGCTGCGGCAAAATCAAGGTGACCAAGGAGAACGAGGAGGGTTGTATCTGTGGCTCTGCTAATCTGGGAGAGGACATGCTTTGTCTGCTACACAGCAGAGATGACGCCGTCAACGTGGACTGCAGTCCTGATGAGCTCCTCTGCTCCAGAAACACATCCTTCCTGTCCAAAGATCAAGTCATGAAGTGGTTTCAGATCTCTGTAACTAAAGCGTGGGGACGCATCTCTCACAAGTACGACTTTGAGGTCACTTTCCGCAACCTGGATGCAGCGGGGGCTCTAAAGATCCGATTCCCTTCTGGGAAAGTCATTGTGATGAACATCATACCTGTGGTTCAGTTCGAGGACACCGATGCTTATTTTGTCTCTCACTTTCCTTCAGATTGTGAGAGCGCCCCAGACCCATACTGGGCCCTCTCTTTTGCAATCTATGAGAGGAATTTGTTCAAATATTTCACCAAATGCCTACCACAACATTCCTGTCATTTACACTGCCTACAGATTGTGACTTTCTTACACAGAAAGCAGACAGGGCTCACAGGAAAAAGTGCATTTACAAACTACCACTTTAAGACTGCGCTGTTGCACTTGTTGCTGCTGAGTAAAAGCCCCTCCTCATGGGGCTTTGAGAACATAGAGCACAGGCTTCGGGACATACTCGTCTTCATGCAGAGGAGTCTGCAGGAGAAAAGACTTCATCATGTTCTTATCGGGAACAGTAAAGTGCCAAAAGAAGTCTGGGTTCCTGAAATAATTCAAAGAGCAGAGCCCATCAATCTGCTGCGACCTCTGGTGTTGCAGACGGAGCTTTATGCAGCTACAGTCAAACATTTTCAAGAGATGTTGAGAAATGCAAGCGTGCTATTACAAGAATACACACCTCACTTACCAAATGGAGGTTTACACCACAGCTGAGATGAATGTTTGTGAGCTTTGGACATCTTTGTCTTCTATATTCTCTCATTTTAGCTCAAGCACATGCCTTTCAGTTTTACTAAGAATAATGTTGCACCAGAGCACAAGCACTGAGATGAAAAGGTGCACATACAGAAGTTATTTTGATACGCCCATTATCTAGACATAGTGGTTTCTGTTTTATACTCTTACAAGGGAACAAGTGTTTTATACTTACTCGAAGCAATATGGCAGCAGCATTTAGACATTGGGTCCTGTTTTTAAAAAAATCAATCAGAACAGTCTGGGTCCTACTCCTACATATTCCAAAGATATATTGTAACCCGTGTACAATTAATTCTGTAGAATTGTTTGAGGCTTCAAAACTGATATGACTTGTTTGGTAACAACTACTTCATCTAAATAAGCAGAAACAAGTTCTATGTAGAAGTTTGATAAGTTCTTTTTAATGCATTTCACCATTTACGTGGACAAAGAAAAAGCACTTTTGTTAGTCAGGGAAGAAAGATTTACACACAAATACCTCTGATATTATTGCAGTCTAACAGGAATAATGTAAGAACAGTCCAACAGTGTTCCGTTTATATTTACACGTTTGCTAATATGATGGCAGCTACTTTATGATGTAATATTTGTTTTGTTGCAATGTTCATTTCCATTTTAATTTTTTAATTTGGTGGAGCTTCGGCTTCAAATGAATCAGGGTAAACAAGATGTAGCTTTCTGTTAGCGACAGAAAATTCAGATTGTTTCCAGTGGCATTACATCCACATCAAAAGCGTATGAATGGAAAAAACCTTGAGTCATATTTACCTCACACGGTCTTTAATGTCCAATAATAACAGTGTAACTCATTGTGAGATTTGCTTCAATATATTTTTATTTTGAAACACACACACACCTCAAAAAGCGCAGTTGTTCTTATTCTATTCCTGATTACATTTTCTGAGAGTGATAATGGTTCTTAATGAGTGATTTTGTTAAAAAAAAGCAGAGTGCAGACCTGTAGAAAAAAGTGTAGGCAACAGCTTTCAGTTACAGAGGTTCAACTGGTTTTATTGCATGAGGAACTTGCAGCAATAAAGAGCTAATAGAAAAGTGGTTTAAGAATGGGTTAGTAAGTGATTTTCATATATCCTTCACCATGAGATATGGTCAGAAATAAATATAATTATTGGCAATATTCAATTTGCTTTCGAGTACCTCTCTGATTAACGAGGAACAAACACGCAGATAAAATAAAAAATGATTCTTCAGGGTTTTTTTTTTTTCCTACAGGCCCAGGTCGTAGTTGGGTTTCCCGTCCACGTAGCTCTGGTAGAAAGCCTTGTAGGTGTCCATGCTGTGTGTGGTGGCTTTGACAGCGGGATCCTCCATCATGCACTCGGTCCACTTCTTTAGCTCAGGTGTGCCGTCAAGGCAGCTGAAAAGACAAAGGAACCAAAACACTCAGACACCACTTGAACTCAAGTGAAGGAAAGATGAATAATATGACTTGTATTTTGCAGTTGGATAGTCTGTTTTTTTGAATGTACAGGCCTTACTTTTGTACTTGACCTAATATTTGTAAAACCTTCTATAAATAAAATATATTTGTTAATAAAATGTTTCTGTGAATGTCCTCAGAGATGAAAACTTACTGTTTCAGTTCGAAGATCTCAAGCCTCTCAAAGAATGGCCACATCATGTAGTCGATCATTGTGATGGAATCACCGCCGAAGAACTTGGTTTTCTTGTTGACAAGGTCCTAGAAAATAAAAATTGCATCCATCAGCATTACGTACAGTCATTTCGAAGTAGCTACATACAGTCATTATAGATGGACACGTGGATAAGTCTTCACTCATTACTTTCAAAGGTTAACTTTTACAGACAATCACAGGATACTCTTTCATTTCTATTAACAATTTTGAGCATTGAATTTTGCAACCTACCTCATTTAATTTGGCAAACTTCTCTTTCAGTTCAGCCTCCAGCCCTGAGACATCATCTCCATTCTTTCTCCCAGTTGGGATCTTGTAGAAGTATGGAGTTACCTATAGAGAACAATGTCACTGATGTGATTATCTAATGACTGTAACAGTAGGAAAGTGTACAAACAAATCCCCAGTATTCAGATGCAACTTTTTAACCAAACTACCTTAGAGAAATGCTCCAGCATCATCTTCTGTTGAGCTTTACCATAAGGAGAGGAAGGAAGCAGCTTCTTCTCAGGGTAAACTTCATCCAGGTAGTCACAGGTGATGGGGGACTCGTAGATCACCTCACCAGCAGGGGTCTCCAGTGTGGGGACAAGACCGAGGGGGTTCCTCTCAAGGAACCAGTCAGGTTTGTCTTTCAGGTTGATATTGATCGTTTCGTGCCTAAATAGACGAAACAGATTTTGCAAATGTTAACAAAAGAACAGATTACAGGTACCATGTGATGACTATAGATGATGTCACGGTTTAAAACAATTATAAAATGTGTTTTTACTTGATCCCTTTGGCATTCAGAACAAGTCTAGCCCGGTGAGCGAAGGGGCAGAATCTCATACTGTAAAGTCTGATGTGGTCTTCGGCACTGAAGCAGGGGCAGCACTGCCTGGGAAAAAAAGCAAAGATGATGGGATGTGTTAACCGGTTTCATCATGTACATCCATCACAGAGCATCAATAACAACTCTAAATGTATAACACAACTCAACAGACAGCATGCTGCATTAAGAATACTTTATTTCTGATAATACCTCTGTTGTTTTTTTAATTTAACCTGTGGAAGAGTAGTATTACATCATCGTAAGGTTAGGTATTTTTCACCAAATTTATAGAGATGTCTTAAATACTGCTATGGAGAGTAATATATATATATTTTTTCAATAAAAGATTTTCCCTTTTTCCCAGTAAATAAATGCAAACAGTCATCACCCACTCAGTAAACAAAACATACTCTAATCACACACGATCTCTCCAGCCTGAAGAAAATCCAACCTCGGGTTAGGAAACCATTTTAACTACCATTATGATACGAGTGATTATGGAGTCATAAACTCATTATCAGTTCATTACTGCTATGATTGTAGACTTCAGATAAGCACTTTATTATTGTAAGCATAACCATTTTTATAATGGTCTACAAATACAAACCAGTGCCATAATGGTGTGCAAATACCTATAATATTATCATGAAAATGAATAGTGTCCATCAGATCTGCATAGTTACACCTTAACATGAATAGTTTACTTACAATAATAATTTTTGGACTTATACTTCAGCAAACCAAAAGCACGGTGAACAGCCTTAACTTAACAAAAGGCTGAAATAAATATACTCTTTGTCACATGTTTGAAAAAACAATACTTTACAAACAAACAGCAGCAGACTGGTCAGACTGTTTTTTTTCCTCCAAAGTGATTTGATTAAAATTAAGATTTACTTTATTGATCCCGCAAGGGGAAATTCTGTTTTTTACACTCTGTAAGTCATGTAACATCATCAGACTCTTATAGAGGCTAGGCGGCTTCTGTATAATATCTTGTGATCCGTTTAAACGGCCCAACCTTCAAATGTAATGTCACTATCGTCACTCTGTATTGTCTTTCACCCTTTTGTTTGGCTTGTTATCATCCAATCTGTTTGAACTCTTACCTTTCAGCCTTTTACAGTCACAGAAAGGAGGCCATCGTTTCCTTCACTAACCTTTCAAATGAATGAGTTATAATGACTGCAAAAAGCTGCAAACACTTCTCACATACTATAGTTATCTTTTACATGTGCTTTCAATCCATTGTCCTGGGTCTTTTATAGTTATATAACTCATGTTTTCTTATTGATTAGCTGATGTGTTCATTTCAACATGTAAAGCAAAGTAGAGTGAACTAATAGACTAAAAAATAACAATAGAAGAATTGTGAAATGAACCTATAATACCCCCATATAATACCATCTCAATTATAAATTCAACACAAAGTAAAAAGTACATGTTAGAAAAGATGCAGGATGAATTATTTTCTTTTTTTTTACTCGTTGTACTCAACAGATAATTGATATCACAATTATTTTACAACCCAACAGTTTCAATAACAAAGTAAAAGTCAAAGCAATCACAACATTTTGCCACCTTCTGTACTATAATCAATTATAAACTTTTTTTTACTTAAGATTTCTTAAACAGAATAATGTGCAGGTTTTGTTTGAATTCCACAATGAAGGATAATTTATTGTATTCAAGTGTAATCGAGCTTTTTTAATATCTAACATGGGCTAAATGACATTCTCTACACTGTTAGATTAACGACCTGCGCCAGAGAGGTAACAAAAGGCATAACCACGATGACTGTGCAGAAATATTACCACTGTGCATCCTCTCATCTTGCAGAAGACTGAATAATAAGTGGCAACTTGTTAATTTAAATGTCCTAAATTATTTAAAGTCATACTTCACTTAACGATACGCACTTAGTGATAAAGAAATGGAATACACCTGAACCCCTGAAATGAAGGAGACTTTCTCTGATTATAGGTGAAACGCTTTTACTTATCATTGTTTAGCTTGTTAGCAAACAACGACAGAGAGCGGCTTGCAATATGCCTTTCCAGTTAGCCTCGTAACAGCTGTACTCTTACCTTTGGCGAAGCACTTTTCAGTAGACATGTTTTGCTTGAAGTCGTATATAAGTTCAATGTAAAAATGGCACGAATGAAGAAAGCCGACAAGAACGAACCTTACATCCGGGTTCGGGTTTATATATGCTGCGTTCCATTTACACACAGAGATGCATTCACGTGCTTCTCAGATGC